CTGTGTGTGTGTGTGTGTGTGTGTGTGTGTGTGTGTGTGTGTGTGTGTGTGTGTGTGCGTGTGTGTGTGTGTGTGGATGAGAAGGGTGAGATGAGGTGGGGAAAGTGACAAAATGCAAAATATAAATGATGGGTTGAAAAATGTGAAATGTAATTACCGCTAAAGTAATCAACGCTACGAAAAGGTCGTCAGAAAAGTTTTATACAAACTTAAACAACAGACTGAAAAGAACGACCCTATGCGTTGGTGCCACCCATACGCGTCAAAGCGAAAGCTTCTATCACATGATGTATCTATGTCATATGTTCAGTCTTGATGGTGGTGGTTGTAGTGGTTAGATCCTTTTTTCTTTTCACCCATTTACCTTCGGCCCTTATCTGTGCTCTTTCCTTTCTTCGCATGTGACTCTTTTAATAGCACATCTTGCCTTTTTCACTTATATAATCTGCTTGTGTTGCAAGTTCCGTAAAATCCGTGTTCCTATGCCCTTACTTATTTGTTTTAGTAGATGTTTTACGGCGCTGGCAACTGCATACGGTCATATGAGCGCCATATGACATAATTGTGTTGCAAATTCGTACCAAAAACTAAAAGTAAAAAACCCACCGTGGTGTCCGGTATAGACTTCTGTATAAACTCCACGACAGTCTGCCCAGGTGTGGTCTGCCCCTTCTCATCACAGCCCATTTTGACGATGACAGTGTAGCCCTGGCCGTACTTGCTCTTGAGGTGCTGGGGGCTGCCCATGCACATGAAGCCGCCCTTTAGCATGATGGCGAGCCGGGTACACAGCGCGTCACACTCCTCCATGCTGGATCAGGAGGAGGGGTGGGAAGGAGATGAAGGCAGAAGGGGGCGGGGTGGGAGTTTTGGAGCAGGTGAGGGATAAGGGGTGATTGGGAGTTGGGGTGGGAAGGAGATGAGAGGGGAAAAAGAAGGGGGATGGGAATATGGGAGCAGGTGAGGGAGAAGGGATGGGTGGGAGTGGGTGTGGTGTGGACAGGGAGTGAGTGGAAGAGGGGAGAGGATGGGAGCAGGAGAGGGAGACGAGGCGGTGGAGTCAGAATGGGGGTCAAG